GGCGGCAGGAGCCCCTAGCACTGCAGGGGGACCGCGGGAGCCCTGGGCCCGGGCCTGGCCCGAAAGAATGGATCTGCAGCTCGAAGACACCCGCAGGATGCGCCTGGGCAGAAAGGGAGCCGGGGTGAAGGAGCCACGGACCCAGACGTCGGCCGCCCCGCGCGCCCTCCCCAGGAACTGCGCGTCACACTCCCACCCCCACTTAGTCCTTCCCATTTCGTCTCCCGCCCAGCTCTGACCTGGGGAAGGAGAAGGAGCACCAGGAACACCGACTGGGACAGGACACGGGACATCCGCAGGCAAACCATGGCCTTTCGGGGGGGTCTCCGGAGTCGCAGCTGCTGGCTCCCGGGCTTTATATCTGAGGGGTCGGCCCCGCCCCTTCAGGCAGCCTCCTGGTTCCTGGGGACCAAGGGGAGAGGGTCTCGGGAAGGGGGCGTGCGGGAGCAACTTGGAGACCGTGTGCACCGCTCTGTAGCCAGCATGTGGCCCTGTGTGTAGCTGTAGCAGACTGGGTACGGGTGGCGTCCGGGAGGATGTGTGGGAGATTACACATGATTTTAGGATTTTGTGTGTACGTGACTCAACACGTGCCTGGAATCGTTGTGTGTGTACACCTGAGTGGGCAACGGGACGTGACGGCGACCTCACGACTGTGTGACATTCTGAGGTTGTGGGACTGTGTGGCTGCCCTGTGTGCATGTGTTTATGTGCGATCCTGAAACAAACACCGTGTATAGCCTTCTGAACCTGTGACTTTGTCATCTGTGCAGGTGCCTCTAGCTGGCAGTGTGCGCAAGCGTGTGTGTGTGTGTGTGTGTGCGTGTGTTGGGTATGTGAGTAGCTGTGAGTGAATGCATGAAGACCCGGGGTTCTTTGTGGACCCTTGTGTGTGCGCTTGCCCGCGTGTTCCTCTTCCCCAAAACAAAGCCACCGTCCCAGCCCCGCAGGACCAGATGCCTGGTCTCGCCGGCCGCCTCGCGCAGACGCTGCGGAGGGGACGCCCAGCTGTATGTAAATGACGCCATCTGCCCGGCGGCGCGCCCCTCCCCCGCGCCTGCAGAGGGGCTGCCCTTTTGGTCTCAAGGTGTGAAGAGCAAACGGGCCGGAAATTCGTCCGCACGTACCAGGGGCCCAAGCCGCTCCCCAACTCCAGGATGAATGGGGGCACCTCGAGGCCGCCAGAAGCTCCCTAGTAATCCAGGACCACGACAAATAAAGCTAGTTAGGAGCAGATGTTCCAGGACCCCTCATGCTGTGTGCCAGGCACCGGGCAAAGCCCGTTAGACGGAGGAAACTATTTTTCATCTCCAGAGTAAAGAAACGTAACACTAATAAGAGGCTGGTGATTTTAGGGGAATTTTTTTATTTTGTTTTTTGTACTGGGGATCGAACTACGGCTCTTGCGCTTGCGAGGCGGGTGCCTGAACCACTGAGCCAAATCCCTGGCCCAGGGGAAATTTTTATGTTCATACTTGTTCTGCAGAGGCCAGCAGGGCCAGGCATACAGGAATGCTCGCTACTTCAATGAATGAAACTTTAGTCTAAGGAATTTTCTCTGGCTCCCTAAGAGGACTCGGAGTCCTGGGTTCTAAGCTGAGCAAGGAGAGGCCTAGGTCAGCTCATGGGGAATCTCACAGGCTCCTGCCTTAGGAGCCCTCCCCAAGGGGATCCGGCACCTCCTCTGAGTTCCCACGGCCCCGCCCCTCTGACCCTGACCATTCTGACATACGGGGTTTTCCTAAACACTAATCAGACCACATCCTCTTGGATAGACTCTCCAACGGCTCCCCAGTACTTTCAAAATATCTCACAAGCTTCTAAGGCTGATGTTGCAGGGCTGTTGTTCCACATCCCTCCTAGTCAGATAGGTTCTGGGTCCCGAGGGTTTCAGCCAGTCCTTGTGGACCCAAATCACTGAGAAAGGTAGGCCTGGCACTGGCTGAGGTACCTTCCTGCCTTAGATAATTATGGATTATAGATTCCAGGTCTGAGACTTCCCCGACTATTTCAGCTGGACCCAATGATGCACGTCTATGACCCTAACTACTCAGGAGGCTGCTTCAAGAGGATCACAAGTTCGCGGCCAGCTTGGGCAACAGCAAAACCCTGCCTCAAAAATTTAAAAAGGGTTAGGGATGTGTCCTAGTGGTACAGTTCTTGCCTAACATATGAGCTTGAGTACTCCCTAATTAAAATAAAACTAGCCAGCCTTGCCCTGGATTTCCTTCCTTGCACTGATAAAGCCTTCATAAGGGTGTTTGTGTCAGGTATAAGGGTGACGTACAAGACTCTCTTGTGTCTCCTATGTGTAGAGTGCACCTTAAGGGATTTCTGGGCATCTTTTTGGCTGTTTAGGACTTTTTCCTTAGAAGATGACCTTAGAAAACATAGAAGGCAGCTGGGCGTAGTGGAACATGCCTGTAATTGCAGCACTCAGGAGGCTGAGGCAGGAGGATTGCTGTTGAGTTGAACCAGCTTGGGCTACATAGTGAGCTCCAGGTGGTCAGTCTCAACTACACAGTGAGACCCTGTCTCAAAAAAAAAAAGGAGAGAAAAGGAAAACATAGAAGGCCACACTAAAGTAAGTGGTAACAGCTGAGACCTAGAGGGAAGGGAAGGAACCAGAGATCTGGAAGGAAAGCCCTCTGGTGGCAGGAACAAGTGCAAAAGCCCTGAGGTGAGCCCACCTGGCACACTTGGATATCCCCACGGCTTGCTTTCTCCTTTCCTCCTGGGCTGTGCTGAAACACATGTTCCCAAGAGGCCTTCCTTGACAATTCCATCCAAGCCCCCAAACCACTGTTACCTCACCATATTTTTCCTTATGGATTTATTACCAAGAGGTACTTGAGCATTGTCTGCCTCTGCTGGGAACATCAGCTCAACAGACTCAGCTTTCTATCCTGTTCATTCACTGCTGCACCCCAGTGCACAGAGGGGGCAGAAGTCCTGGCTCCCTCACACATGTGAATGTGAATGAAGAGGAACTAGTATTAAGCTCTTATGGATGAGGGAGCAGATGCAAAGACCTTACCGAGGGCCACAGGGCACCTGCGCAGTGGGACCAGGGAATTCAGAACCTGCTGGGGATGCCCTAACGCTGGCACAATCCTGCCTGTGCCCATCAGACACTGTATGACACCCTGAAGCCAGTGCCCAGAAAACTGTAGACACCCTAGGCCATGTCTCACTGTCTCAGAGCCCATGTGCGTGTCAAAGCCTCTTCTCCCTTTTGCCAGCTTCTAGCACGTGAGGCCCGACAGCACCAAGGTGGAGGGAGATCTGAGAGCCCAGTGGGCACTGAAGCCTGAACCACCCAGAGTGCCACAGCCGTAATCCCCAAGGGCCAGCAGACAGACTTTCTTTCATGCCCTGGCGAGCCAACAGGCCTGAGCTACATGTGAAAGGTTTCTCTGGTTCCTTGGGGCAGTGTCATCTCAGCTAACTGCTAGTGTCCCCTCCCTGTCCATGGCGCACTCCCCAGGACCACATTCTACAAACACAAAAGCTTCATCTGCACCTCTGCTTCCCATTAGGACAATTTCCACCAAACATGGCCCTTCCTTGATGCCCAACCTGCCCCATTTAGGGGACACCCTGAAGACATGGGGACACCTCTCTGCAGGACACAGCTCCCAGGGTTGGAAGTTATGATACAGATTTTCATTCTCTGCAGACACTTCTGAGCCCTTTCAACAATCTACAGTGCACAAGTTCAATCTGACCCATGGTTTCAAATGTATTTTAATGATCTTATGAAATACTAGGGAAAGTCTTTTAAAAATACTTATCAGTACTAGCACTTGGTGCTGACCAGAGTGACGAGGCTTGTGTGGCAGCCAGTTCAAGTAAAAAAAGCTCCAAACCACGTACTACTCCCACAGCCCCAGTACTATGGGAGGCTGGAGCAGGAGGGCTGTAAGCTCAAGCCCTGCCTGGGCAACTCAGCCAAAATGAAGTATTAAAAAGGGGTGGTGGTCAGATAGGACACAGCTCAGTGTGAAGGCCCTGGGTTCAATCCCTAGTACCTACTCCCCTAAAGAAAGAACCAGGGTATTTCTTTTTTGGGGGGGGGTTACCAGGGATCGAACTCAGGTCCTTGCGCTTGCGAGGCAGGCACCAGAACCACTGAGCTAAATCCCCGGCCCAGAACCAGGCTATTTCAATGTGAAACACTCAATATGGCCTAGGAACAGCAGACTCCTTGTGTGCACATACAGTTGGGGTACAGGTTACCTCATTATTCCTGGCAACCATTCTAGAGATGAGGCAACTGAGGCCAAGATATGTCTCACCTAAGGTTCATGAAGTTACCCTTGAGTGCTTACAGGAGAGGGCCTTAGCCCTCAAGCCAAGGCTAGAGAAACCATTACTTCATAGATGTAGGAACTGAGGCAATGTGAGGTGGAGTAATTTGCCCATGGTCACACAACCGCCAGGAAGGCAAAGCTTGGGTTTAAACATGGACAGCCTAGAACAGCGATGGTGAACCTTTTAGAGCTCTCAGTGATAACAGCACACCATAGCTTCACTACCACTGGTACAGAATCTGTACTCTTAACACAGCTATGCCGTCCAATGTGAGAGCCTGGAGATGTGTGTTTAAATTTTTAAAATTCAGAGCTGGACATGGTTGCATGTGCCTGTCGTCCCAGCACTCTGGGAGGCTGAAGGAGGAGGATCAGAGCTTTGAGAGCAAAACTTAGCAACTTAGCAAAACCCTGCCTCAAAATAAACAACAGCTGGGGATGTAGCTCCGTGCAAAGGCCCCAGGTTCAATCCCCAGTAGCACAAAAAATAATAAATTCAGGTCATGCCAGGTACAGTGGTGCACGTCTCTAATCCCAGGTACTTGAGGGGCTCAAACTGGAGGAGTACAAGTTCAAGGGCAGCCTGGGCAACTCAGACTCTGTGTCAAAAAATAGAAATGACTGGAAATGTAACTCAGTAGAGTACCGTTGGGTACAGTTTCCACCACTGCAAAAACAATTTTCAGTTTTGTTACATTAGCTACACGTCGACTATTACCCCCATGTGGAAGGTGGTCACCGTACTGAACAGCACAGGCACAGACAGTGACACTGCCAAGTGCTGCTCCAGTCAGCGGGTTTAGTCAGGGACCAACACAAAAACAAGGAGAGGTGGGCTGAGGTGTTGCTCAATGCCACAGCCCTTGTCTAGCATGCACAAGGCCCTGGTTCCAACCCTGGCACGGCAAAGAGTAAATAAATGAAAAGAGCAAATCCTAATTTCTAGCTGGGCATGACAGCACACCTGTCCTCTCAGCTCCTCAGGAGGCTGAGGCAGGAGGATCATGAGGCCTGTTTGACAGCAGCCTATGCAACACAGTGAGACCCTGCCACTGCCCTTTTGGTCTCAAGGTGTGAAGAGCAAACGGGCCGGAAATTCGTCCGCACGTACCAGGGGCCCAAGCCGCTCCCCAACTCCAGGATGAATGGGGGCACCTCGAGGCCGCCAGAAGCTCCCTAGTAATCCAGGACCACGACAAATAAAGCTAGTTAGGAGCAGATGTTCCAGGACCCCTCATGCTGTGTGCCAGGCACCGGGCAAAGCCCGTTAGACGGAGGAAACTATTTTTCATCTCCAGAGTAAAGAAACGTAACACTAATAAGAGGCTGGTGATTTTAGGGGAATTTTTTTATTTTGTTTTTTGTACTGGGGATCGAACTACGGCTCTTGCGCTTGCGAGGCGGGTGCCTGAACCACTGAGCCAAATCCCTGGCCCAGGGGAAATTTTTATGTTCATACTTGTTCTGCAGAGGCCAGCAGGGCCAGGCATACAGGAATGCTCGCTACTTCAATGAATGAAACTTTAGTCTAAGGAATTTTCTCTGGCTCCCTAAGAGGACTCGGAGTCCTGGGTTCTAAGCTGAGCAAGGAGAGGCCTAGGTCAGCTCATGGGGAATCTCACAGGCTCCTGCCTTAGGAGCCCTCCCCAAGGGGATCCGGCACCTCCTCTGAGTTCCCACGGCCCCGCCCCTCTGACCCTGACCATTCTGACATACGGGGTTTTCCTAAACACTAATCAGACCACATCCTCTTGGATAGACTCTCCAACGGCTCCCCAGTACTTTCAAAATATCTCACAAGCTTCTAAGGCTGATGTTGCAGGGCTGTTGTTCCACATCCCTCCTAGTCAGATAGGTTCTGGGTCCCGAGGGTTTCAGCCAGTCCTTGTGGACCCAAATCACTGAGAAAGGTAGGCCTGGCACTGGCTGAGGTACCTTCCTGCCTTAGATAACTATGGATTATAGATTCCAGGTCTGAGACTTCCCCGACTATTTCAGCTGGACCCAATGATGCACGTCTATGACCCTAACTACTCAGGAGGCTGCTTCAAGAGGATCACAAGTTCGCGGCCAGCTTGGGCAACAGCAAAACCCTGCCTCAAAAATTTAAAAAGGGTTAGGGATGTGTCCTAGTGGTACAGTTCTTGCCTAACATATGAGCTTGAGTACTCCCTAATTAAAATAAAACTAGCCAGCCTTGCCCTGGATTTCCTTCCTTGCACTGATAAAGCCTTCATAAGGGTGTTTGTGTCAGGTATAAGGGTGACGTACAAGACTCTCTTGTGTCTCCTATGTGTAGAGTGCACCTTAAGGGATTTCTGGGCATCTTTTTGGCTGTTTAGGACTTTTTCCTTAGAAGATGACCTTAGAAAACATAGAAGGCAGCTGGGCGTAGTGGAACATGCCTGTAATTGCAGCACTCAGGAGGCTGAGGCAGGAGGATTGCTGTTGAGTTGAACCAGCTTGGGCTACATAGTGAGCTCCAGGTGGTCAGTCTCAACTACACAGTGAGACCCTGTCTCAAAAAAAAAAAGGAGAGAAAAGGAAAACATAGAAGGCCACACTAAAGTAAGTGGTAACAGCTGAGACCTAGAGGGAAGGGAAGGAACCAGAGATCTGGAAGGAAAGCCCTCTGGTGGCAGGAACAAGTGCAAAAGCCCTGAGGTGAGCCCACCTGGCACACTTGGATATCCCCACGGCTTGCTTTCTCCTTTCCTCCTGGGCTGTGCTGAAACACATGTTCCCAAGAGGCCTTCCTTGACAATTCCATCCAAGCCCCCAAACCACTGTTACCTCACCATATTTTTCCTTATGGATTTATTACCAAGAGGTACTTGAGCATTGTCTGCCTCTGCTGGGAACATCAGCTCAACAGACTCAGCTTTCTATCCTGTTCATTCACTGCTGCACCCCAGTGCACAGAGGGGGCAGAAGTCCTGGCTCCCTCACACATGTGAATGTGAATGAAGAGGAACTAGTATTAAGCTCTTATGGATGAGGGAGCAGATGCAAAGACCTTACCGAGGGCCACAGGGCACCTGCGCAGTGGGACCAGGGAATTCAGAACCTGCTGGGGATGCCCTAACGCTGGCACAATCCTGCCTGTGCCCATCAGACACTGTATGACACCCTGAAGCCAGTGCCCAGAAAACTGTAGACACCCTAGGCCATGTCTCACTGTCTCAGAGCCCATGTGCGTGTCAAAGCCTCTTCTCCCTTTTGCCAGCTTCTAGCACGTGAGGCCCGACAGCACCAAGGTGGAGGGAGATCTGAGAGCCCAGTGGGCACTGAAGCCTGAACCACCCAGAGTGCCACAGCCGTAATCCCCAAGGGCCAGCAGACAGACTTTCTTTCATGCCCTGGCGAGCCAACAGGCCTGAGCTACATGTGAAAGGTTTCTCTGGTTCCTTGGGGCAGTGTCATCTCAGCTAACTGCTAGTGTCCCCTCCCTGTCCATGGCGCACTCCCCAGGACCACATTCTACAAACACAAAAGCTTCATCTGCACCTCTGCTTCCCATTAGGACAATTTCCACCAAACATGGCCCTTCCTTGATGCCCAACCTGCCCCATTTAGGGGACACCCTGAAGACATGGGGACACCTCTCTGCAGGACACAGCTCCCAGGGTTGGAAGTTATGATACAGATTTTCATTCTCTGCAGACACTTCTGAGCCCTTTCAACAATCTACAGTGCACAAGTTCAATCTGACCCATGGTTTCAAATGTATTTTAATGATCTTATGAAATACTAGGGAAAGTCTTTTAAAAATACTTATCAGTACTAGCACTTGGTGCTGACCAGAGTGACGAGGCTTGTGTGGCAGCCAGTTCAAGTAAAAAAAGCTCCAAACCACGTACTACTCCCACAGCCCCAGTACTATGGGAGGCTGGAGCAGGAGGGCTGTAAGCTCAAGCCCTGCCTGGGCAACTCAGCCAAAATGAAGTATTAAAAAGGGGTGGTGGTCAGATAGGACACAGCTCAGTGTGAAGGCCCTGGGTTCAATCCCTAGTACCTACTCCCCTAAAGAAAGAACCAGGGTATTTCTTTTTTGGGGGGGGGTTACCAGGGATCGAACTCAGGTCCTTGCGCTTGCGAGGCAGGCACCAGAACCACTGAGCTAAATCCCCGGCCCAGAACCAGGCTATTTCAATGTGAAACACTCAATATGGCCTAGGAACAGCAGACTCCTTGTGTGCACATACAGTTGGGGTACAGGTTACCTCATTATTCCTGGCAACCATTCTAGAGATGAGGCAACTGAGGCCAAGATATGTCTCACCTAAGGTTCATGAAGTTACCCTTGAGTGCTTACAGGAGAGGGCCTTAGCCCTCAAGCCAAGGCTAGAGAAACCATTACTTCATAGATGTAGGAACTGAGGCAATGTGAGGTGGAGTAATTTGCCCATGGTCACACAACCGCCAGGAAGGCAAAGCTTGGGTTTAAACATGGACAGCCTAGAACAGCGATGGTGAACCTTTTAGAGCTCTCAGTGATAACAGCACACCATAGCTTCACTACCACTGGTACAGAATCTGTACTCTTAACACAGCTATGCCGTCCAATGTGAGAGCCTGGAGATGTGTGTTTAAATTTTTAAAATTCAGAGCTGGACATGGTTGCATGTGCCTGTCGTCCCAGCACTCTGGGAGGCTGAAGGAGGAGGATCAGAGCTTTGAGAGCAAAACTTAGCAACTTAGCAAAACCCTGCCTCAAAATAAACAACAGCTGGGGATGTAGCTCCGTGCAAAGGCCCCAGGTTCAATCCCCAGTAGCACAAAAAATAATAAATTCAGGTCATGCCAGGTACAGTGGTGCACGTCTCTAATCCCAGGTACTTGAGGGGCTCAAACTGGAGGAGTACAAGTTCAAGGGCAGCCTGGGCAACTCAGACTCTGTGTCAAAAAATAGAAATGACTGGAAATGTAACTCAGTAGAGTACCGTTGGGTACAGTTTCCACCACTGCAAAAACAATTTTCAGTTTTGTTACATTAGCTACACGTCGACTATTACCCCCATGTGGAAGGTGGTCACCGTACTGAACAGCACAGGCACAGACAGTGACACTGCCAAGTGCTGCTCCAGTCAGCGGGTTTAGTCAGGGACCAACACAAAAACAAGGAGAGGTGGGCTGAGGTGTTGCTCAATGCCACAGCCCTTGTCTAGCATGCACAAGGCCCTGGTTCCAACCCTGGCACGGCAAAGAGTAAATAAATGAAAAGAGCAAATCCTAATTTCTAGCTGGGCATGACAGCACACCTGTCCTCTCAGCTCCTCAGGAGGCTGAGGCAGGAGGATCATGAGGCCTGTTTGACAGCAGCCTATGCAACACAGTGAGACCCTGCCTCAAAAATTAAACAATTACAAAACAAACAAATACATAAATAAAAATGAAATAATACAAATCTCAATTTCTGCTTTGTTATAGAAAACTAGGAGACCAAATGACTGCAGCCACAGCAGTCTAGAGCTGAACAGCAGCTGCTCTTGTGAGATGCGCTGATCACTGGTCCACCAGAGTACAGCTGAGCTCACTTCACTTCCATTCCATGCAGCTGTCTGTCTTTAAAACCCTCTCTCTTCACCTTTCCACAAGGAATGTGCAGCCAAGAAGGGAGATGCACTTTTTGCAAATCACACGACTTATGGGAAGACACAGCCAAGCAGAGACTCAGGTTTTCAGATTCCCAGGCCAGGATTCAGCATCACCCCGATCCAACAAAGCAGCACCCACTGTACTTGGCAGCTGGTCAGCCGCTGCAGGACCTCACCCCAACGCCCCACCTGGAGATGCTCCGGACACTGGAGTTGTGTCATCTGGGATGCACTTTATTGGATCTGTGGCTGCCCCAACCTGGGTCTGGGAGCCCTGGAGCACCAGGAGACCCAGGCACTGAGTTTGAGGAGGCCCAGAAGTCAGGGCTGTTTAGAACGAGGCCACAAGCGGCTGGTGAGAGAGCTGAAGAAGAGGTTCTGCTTGTTGGACTTGGAGAGCTCAGCCAGGCGCTGCTGCTCCTCCTGAGGCCGGCAGACAGAAGGAGGAGGAGGGTCAGCACAGAGGGCAGAGCCTCCTTCCAGACTCCCAGCCCTCAACCAGGAAGCCACTGTTCCTTTAGCCCAGACTCCCCTCCCTAAACTAACACCACCAGCCCACACAGGGGGATCTGGCCCCTCGCTCCCAGGGAAGACACTGACAAGGGTCAATCCGAGTCCCCGGGCCCAGGCTCCAAAGTCTGGACGGGCCAGGCTCTGAGTTTGTAACCCTGAACCTCAGCAGCTTTTGAGCTCCTAATGCTCATAATCCCTTTCTCCAGATCCCAGGGCACCCTCCTCTAAGCCTGGGGATCTATAGCAGACCTTATACCCCAACCTGGATGACAGTGAGATGCCAAGCCCAAACCCCACTGCCTTCACCAAATCACATGGTCCTGCACCCCCGGGGTCCAGCCTTGAGGCCCATAATCCTAGTCTGGATGCTAAGGACCCCAGCCTTCCCCCAGGAACCCAACCTAGAATCTGGTCAGCCTTAGCCTACACCCCTGGCCTGTCTCAGACTCGATCTGTACTCTATGCCCCACTTCCAATTGCTACAGTCCCCAGGCATGATGCGCCTATCTTTAACACCAGCACTCAGAAGGCTGGGGCAGGAGGACTGCAAGCTTAAGGCCAACCTGGGCTACATAGTGAGTCCCTATCTCAAAAAATCAAAGGAATAAAACAAAAATGGTGGGGAGAGGGCCTTCAAGACCAGTAAACTCCTTAGTCTCATGGCTTAAGATACCTCTTTCAAGATTTGATCTAAACCCTCAGTCCACCTCCATGCGCTGCCCCCAGAACAAATGACCACCAACAGTGCCCTCTCTCAGACCATCCCAGCACTTATCACTCCGCCCTGAGAACAGGTTGCAGGACCAACCCACCCTGTTTACACCAGTGCATAAGACAGGCTGTGTAAGTCCTGGGGAGCCCCACAAATGCCACCCACTGTGGGGGTCTGAGCCCCAACCTGCTCAAGCTGGCTCTGCCGCTGTTTGAAAGCCTCCAGCGGGTCATCCTCCAAGGCATAGTGCTCCAACACGGTCCGGACGTCCTCCACTTGATTCAGTGCAATGGCTGCGGGCACAACAGGGGGGTCAGCAGGATGCCGAGGCTGGAGGGAGGTGCACCCACAGGGTAAAGGCCAGACCTGGGGTCAGCACTCCCTGGAATGCTTCTTGATGCTCTGAAATGACTCCCTTGAACACTCCCCCAGAGCCCCCAAATGTGCCTGAAGAGCACTGGATTTTCCAGAAACTCTTCGTGGACTCCTGCACCTCGACTACCTGGTGCTAAACCACAACCCAGAACTGAGCATCTGTCATGGTCTTGAAGATCAAGGGCTGGGCTCAGAGTCAGGAGGTCAGGGGTCAGTCTCACTCTTAAGGAAGGCAGACAGGTCCAACAAGACCCGGTCATCGGAGTTGCCATCCCAGGGCCGCAGGGCAACACCATTGAACGGCTGTAAGCGGAAGGCTTCTTTCTTGCAGTCCACAATGACCACACGGGCTGGGTCCCGATTCAGACACGAAATGTCCTGGAAGCAGTGATGGGTCTTGTCACCATCTGGGCCCCCAATGCCACAAACCCACTCACACAGCATCATGCACACTGTGATCACCACGCCAGCTCACTCTCAACTTCTCAGGGAGCTGGGGTGCTAGTCACACACTCAAGGACCAGGGCCCCACAGTGTGCACTCAGAGGTACTCTGAGAAGGAAATGGGCACTGGTCTAGGTGACTGTGATACACTGCAGGTGTGAGAACCTCTCACCCTCAGAGGGAGGTGCAGACAAAGAGCCATGTCAAACGGGTAGAGAGGCACACACCATCCCCTGGTCACAGCCCATGTACTGCTGAAACCCCAACAACACAGACACCCAGGCCCATCGAGAGCCACACAGAAACCAGAAGACACCTGGACATGTCGGTACTTGTAGCCAGAGCCAGAGGCCTAATGTGAACAGATCTCAAAGCAAACCAACCTCAAACAGGCTCACAGCAGCTATGGCAATTACAGTCTCTGAAACACTCAGTTATGGTACTGAGCCACACCCCAGCCTTTTTTAAAAATTTGAAAACAGGTTGTTGCTCAGTTGCTAAGGGCCCAGGCTGGGCTCAAACTCAGCCTCTCACAACGCTGCAATTATAGATGCGCACCACCCCATTGGGGCCCTAGATGACTTTTTTTTTTTTTTTTGAGACAGGGTCTCACTTATGTAGTTCAGGCTGGCCTGGAACTTGCTACCACAAGTTCTCGCTACTGCAAGTTCTCGCAACTGCAAGTTCTCTTACTTCAGACTCTTGAATGCTGGGATTACAGGTGTGTGCCATCATGCCTAACTCAACTGTCTTCTTTTTTTTTGGTACCAGAGATCAAACTGGGGTCCTTGAGCATTCAAGGCGGGAGGCAGAATGACTAAGCTAAATCCCTGGCCCTCAACTGTCTTCTTTAGGAAGAGCCTACTTTCCCCAACTCCCCCTCTCCAGATTCTAGGGAAAGAAGGGCCTAAAGCACACCCCTCCAAACTGGAAGCTGGCTCATGTCCTATGGAGACGACTCAATCTGGGCAGAACCACAGCAGGGTTGAAGATGGGACTGAAACTGGATGCCCTTTCTCAGACAATGCTAGTGGCCCTAAATCCACCCTCAAAGCCCACTGCAACCCAGACATGGCACCTTAACATGGTGCCCATCCATGTATCTTGTAGCATCCCGAAACAGGCGGTAGGAGATGAAGCCGTGAGGGTCCACACTGTCGATGAGTGGAAATGCAGTCTAGGAGGAACCAAGAACAGGTCAAGCTGGACCTGGCCTGCAGTTCTGCACACCTGTCACACCAGCCATGTCTGCTGTGCCCCGGAGCCTCACCATGCCGGTCTCTGAAGTAAAGATGACGATTTCATACAAAGGGGCAAGTTGCTGGAACAAGGTCTCAATGCCTGGGCGCTTCTTAAACCTCCAGCCAGTGGCCAGCTAGGGAGACAGGGAGGACAGCAAAACACTGAAGCCAAGAGGACCCCAAAGGCCCCAGGCCCTGCTTGAGGGATTCCCAGAACAGGGGTTCTCTCTGCTCTTGGGGGAATCAGGAGCATAAGAGCTGTGATAGTCTAAACAAGAGCTGACAACTTCCTTTGCAGTACTAGGAACTGAATTCAGGCCCTTTGCACTGAGCTACAGTCCCACCCCTTTTTTATTTTGAGGGTCTAAATTTGCCCAGTCTGCACTTAAACTTGTGTTTCTCCTGCTTTGGCCTCCTAGAGCTGGATTAAAAGCATGTGCCACCACATCTGGTTAAGGGCTGATTGCTTTGGCACACTTCCTGTGGCCAAGGCACACCCATGAAGATCCTACAGAGTGGGTACTGAGGAAAATGAGGCAGTACGAGGGGATGGCTCCTCCCCACGATCACACAGCAGAGCTGAGGCCAATCCCACAGCATTACAACCTGGCTGCCTAGGTCCATCCCCAACCCGCTGCTTTCCCTGGAACACACCGACCACTCAGGGTGCAAGAGGACACCAGTGAGCTCCAGGACGAGCGTGTATGGTGGCTGGTAGTATGGCTCCTGCAGCGGGTCTGGGAGAAGGCAAGGGCTGGTGGGCTCAATGATCATCTGCAGGAGAGGAAGAGAACAGGTATGTTCAGCAGAGAAGCCAGAGCTGCAGGCTACAGGAATAGGGAATGGGTCAGGCCCCTACTCACCTGTCTATAATCTTTGAAATATTTGTATGTTCGGCGCAACTGCTGTACCAGAATTGGATCTAGAACACCAGGCACAAAGGGATTCCACGATAAGCTCCTGCTCACCATTCCAGACAAGCCAGAGGTTTATGATCTACCAGATACAAACAGGTCTACATACCCACCTGGTTTGAGCTTGTTTCTAGTGCCAAAGGAAGAAGGCAATGCCATACCATCAGGGAGGAACAAAGATATTTATTCACTTGCCCAGTTTTAACCCAAATACTTATAGCTATATACCATGCCAGGTATAAAACAAAATGTTTATGTATCAGCCCAATTATCCACATACGTGGAAATCTATGGACACTGTCATATTTTGACATCTACAACCAAAAGACTTCTGGATCCACTGTTGAGCCAGTGTATTGAGTCTAATCACACCACTACGAGAACACACCCATATCTGTGTACTGTAAACCAGTGATTCTCAACTAGGATCTGTTTTATCTCCCTCTTCTCTGTGGGAAATTTGGTAATGTATAAAGACTTTTTACTTATTTTTTCAGTGTGTGAAGTGAATCAAGAACCCCATGCATGCTAGTCATGGGTTCTACCACTGAGCTACATCCCAGGCCCTGGAGATTTTTTTTTTTTGAGGCAGGGTCTGTCTATGTAGTTCAAGCTGTCCTTGAACTCACTATGTAGCCCAGGCTGGCCTCAAATTCACAGAAATCCTTCTGCCTTAGCCTCCCAAGTAACAGGATTACAGGCATGCACCACCATACTTGGCTAAGCATATATACTTTAAACCTGCATATCTTCCTGACCAATTTAAATAAGTATATTAACTTATACTAGTAGGATTCTACCTCAGTTCAGGTAAAACAGCATACTTACTACCTTACCTGCCCAATGTAAAACAATCAGTATATAAACAGCCTGTTTGCAAAGTTCCCCAGCACAAAAAGGTAGCTTTCATGACATGCCAGTTTTACTTTTCTCCTAGGAAGGGCCAGGTGTGATGGAATTGACAACTACACTCTACTATCCAATCTTGTCAGAAGAGCCCCATCAAAAGCTGGTTAACCAGAGGGGGAGGGAGGAAGGAGGCATTGTTTTGGAAATGAGCAGCCGGATGGTGGATGGTGCAGAGGCTTAAGGGTAAAAGAAAAAAAAAAAAGGCTGTCATAAAGAGGAGGGAGTAAGGGGCTGCAGATGCTCAGATCTAAGGCACAGGAAACCCTGTGTCTGGGGATAGGCTACTCTGTCTCCCCAGGCCCTCCCACGCAGGCTCTGCTCCCCCATCTGTCCCATACCATCTGCTCCTGGGCTAAGGGGCCAGAGAGGGGGGTGGGGTGGGGCTTTTAATGCCCTTCCCCCACCAGCCATCCAGCTATTGGCTCCCTACAGCCCCCATGGAAGGAGAAGGACCAGGGGAATCAGCGGTGTTTACTCACCATTGTCAAATTCATCGGGAATCTAAGAGGTTGAGAGAAAAATGGAAAGTTTGATATAGGAGGAGCAGGATTCCACAGCACCCAGAAAAGGAACCCACAAAAGGAACTCCAAGCTTCTGAGAGAAGGCAGAGGTCCCTGGGAGGCAGAGTTTCAGTCTAGAGCAGAAATGAACCTAGCAGGCTGAAGGGAGCCCACCCTCACACCCACAGGATGGGCTCCTGGCAAGGTCTCTGGGTACCTTTCCCCTCACCTTGGCACCGGTTTCATCCACAGGGTTGTTTCCTGCAAGAGAGACAAGAATGAGTGAACAAAACTGGGGCCCAGTCTCCTGGGTTTTTAGGGCCGAGGCCTGAACTCCTGGGTCTAAAAGAAGAGGGCTTGAGGGCATGGCCTCCTGGATTCCAGGGAAGGGGCATCTAGGAGCCAAGATTCCTGAGTCTTTGAAAGAAAAGAGTTGAGGCTGGGTCTTTGAGAAATGAAGGGAAGGGTTGGACTTCTGGGTGCTGAAGGAAGACATAACTTAAGAGGCTGGTCCAGGCCTATCCTACCTCACCTTCTCCTCTACCAAATGGTTCCCTGTAGCCTGGTATAGGGACTAACTAAAGTGAGTAGAACCTTAAGCAGAAGTGTAGAACGGAAAAGAAAAGAGATTTCTGTGGTTTGCAAAGCAGATGTCACCTACTGAGGAAGGTAGAAAGAGAGGAAGTTTCCACAGTGGAATTCAGGAAACCTAGAGAACAAAGTTGAGAGGTAGTGATTATGTCACTCACCGAAAATATAGACGATGCTCACGGTTCCACCGGCCCCCAGCAAACCAGCAAGCCAGAGTGCAACTTTTTTAGCATAGCTGGGACCTTCTGAGCCTGACTGCTGCTGTGACCCCTGGGCCTTAGCACCACCACGGCTCCCAATCTCTGCAGCCTGTGATGGAGAGAGGAGAGATCAGCCAAGAGAGACCAAAGAAAAGGTCAAAATACTCTGGTCCAAGTAGTTTCAAGAGCAAGAACTAGGAAGTGCCCAGCACCACAGGAGGATGAAGCAAGAGGATCACTGGGAGTTCGACGTCAGCCTGGGCTATATAGTGAGTTCAAGACCAGCTTGAGGGCCGGGGACCTAGCTCAGTGGTTCTGCCACCTGCCTCACAAGTGCAAGGACCCGAGTTCAATCCCCGGTACCAAAAGAAAAAGAAAAAGACCAGCTTGAACTAGAAATAGCCATGGTTAGTGTTAGGATTAAAAAAAAAAAAAGCCAAGAAGTCATCACTCAAACCCAGTGTTGTGTCCCTGAAGGTGCAGAGAGGTCAGTCCCTTCAAAAGGTCAAAACTGGACTGTCTGGGGGGCTGAGGATTTAGCTCAGTGGTTCTGCCGGCTTCTTCCAAAGCACAAGGTCCAGTGTTTGATCCCCGGTACCAAAAAAAACAAAACTAGACTGTCTGGGGAGACAATCTCAAGGGTTTAAGGAACTAAGAAGATCCTAGAGGACTGGAAGGTCTGGAGCCCAGAAAAGCAGACCGTGTTAAATAAGGGTCTAGAAGCCCTAAAATTGGGGTGCAGATAGCAAGAAGGACACAGAGGGCAGAACATGGAGTTAATACCCAGATTCCTGGAGTTCAAGGGAACAGCATATAGAGGGGAAGGGAAGGGCATGGGGACAGGGAGGAGCAATCGCTAGTCTGGAGCCTGGAGAAATAGGGCACGGAAGTGATGGACTTGGAGGTCAGAATGGCTAGGTCTCTGTCAACGTGGAGGCACATCTAATATAAGTCGGGGTGTCTACCTCACCACCACCAGCAACGCGGAGAAAATTCCCCAAGACCAAACTGGGACCCTAGCGTCCCGCGCCCCTCTTCTAGAATCACTTGGTGTTCTGACAATGAGGAACAAGTGACCTCGCCCAGCACCCACGTGGAGGGAGGCAGGAGTCAAGAAGTTGCATCTGGGCCGTTAGCACCCAGTGTGGGAAGCAAGAGTTGTGCCCCCGGGTGCCAGGGGCGCTCCCCAAAGCGCGAGCAGCGTTCCATTCAGCACCCTGAGGTGCGGCACCCCAGAACCGCCCGGCGAAGTGTACGTCCGAAACTTCAAGGAGAGGCTTCTGTTCCCGGGGCGCCAGCCCCGTTCCGCTCACCTGTTCCGAGGCCCGGGGGGGCGGTGTCGCCAGCCTCGTGCACAACCCCCGCGAGCCGAGCCGGAGCCCGCTCCGCAAGCGGGAGAACAGCGCCGCTGAAGCCGCCATCTTTGCGCTGACGCCATGCGGCCCCGCCCACTCAGTCCCCTTTTGCCCACCCCGACTGGGGCTGCGGCCAATGGGAACGCCGAGGAGGGGCAGGTGGACGGGAGCCCGAGAGAGACAAACGTCTTCAGGTGGACTGCCGCAAGTGTCCGACTGCTTTCCCTGTGTGCTGAAAGGCCTAGTCACCTGGCACCGCGACCCCTCGAGCTGTAGAGACCGCCCACCGTCCTGCTACTGGACGTGGAAGGGCAGGGATCACACCCATTGCTCGGGGATAAGGCTGAGGCCATAATGAAAGAACCCAATCCAACGGCTGCTTGGGTTTGTCCAGTCAGGTAGCTTGGCTCGCCTACGGAGGGGGTCTGCCTTGTCTGCCAATTGTCTTAAGCGGAAACAGGCTCAGAAAACGGGCGGAAAAGTCCCCCTCGCCGGTTCTTTTGCTCAGTGGAGGTGGGAGGTGAAATCTGCCCTCTCCGCGTCCTCGGAGTTCTCACTCCTCCTACCGTGAGTTTCTATAATGGGTCGGAGGCAGGGCCGCTCTTCCGGGCTCTGCCCCAACAGGTCTGGGATATTGAGGGCCAGCAAGATACCAAGAGTTTGCGGCTACAGGAAGCCGCAATGAGCGTTGCGCAAATTATATTCATTGGGACAAAAATAGATGTTTCTCTAAACTATAAAAACAAAAGTACTGTACTAAGGTAGTAAAAGTACAAAGTCAGGCAAAGCAAAGACACATGGAATTCAGGGTTGTGGTTACTTCTGGAGGGGAATGATTGGGGGTGCTGCTAATGCAAGTCCTACCCGGTACATAGTTTCCTAAACTGGGTGATGGGGTGGTATGTCTTTTTTGATAATTTGAAACATTTTACAGTATCTTTACATTTATAAAGACACTTAAGGCTGGGGATTTAGCTCAGTGGTTCTGCTGCCTGCCTTGCAAGCACAAGGACCCGAGTTCGATCCCGGGAAAAAAAAAAAAAAAGACACTTGGACATCAGATGAGAAGAGATTAAAAAGTACATTCTCAGGGCTGGGGATTTAGCTCAGCGGTTTGGTGGCCTGCCTTGCAAGCACAAAGACCCAGGTTCAATCCCCGGTACCAAAAAAAAAAAAAGTATTCTCTACACTACTCCCAAGTTACCAATTATAGTGTCAATGCTCTCAGGACTCAAGGAAAAGAACCTTAATTAACCAAGCGTCCTGCACCACTGGCAGAATTTAGGTTTCATGGGGGACAATGTGATTTTTCACTTAGCATAACTCATGACTGAATGTAGTGTAACTCTGTCACAAGGCAAGCTGTTCCAATCATCTATTTCCAGTCAAAGTCTTCTATATCCCTCTCAAACAAACACAACGAAAAACAAAAGGCCTGGCATAGTGGTACAAGCCTGCAATCGCTGCATCTGGAAAGCTGAGGTATTCACCATGAGTTTGAAGCCAGCCTGGGCTACAGTGAGTTTAAGTCTAGTCTGAAGTATACAGTAGGATTCTTCTCTGTTTTTTGCTTTTTTGGTACCGGGGATAAAACTCAGGTCCTTGTGCTTGTGAGGCAGGCGGGCAGAACCACTGAGCTAAATCCCCAGCCCTTTATTTTTTTGGTACTAGGGATCTAACTCGGGACCTTGCGCTTGCAAGGCAGGCAGTGGAACCACTGAGCTAAACCCCCAGCCTGAGACTCTTGTCTTTAAAAAGAACAATTATAAAAACAAATAAATAAATAAAAATAAAAAGGAACAGTGAGTTCCAGGTCAGTCTCAACTACATAGTGAGACCCTCTCAAAAAACCAAAAAATACATAAAATATATGAGAAGGGACGAGGGAGGTGGAAGGGGGAAAGAAGGGACTAGAAAAGAAATAGAATACAAGGAAAAATGGAAACAAAGCTTTTGTAAATAAGGAAGGGAAGAGTTGAAAGGAGGGGTGGGGAATGGGAGAAAAAGCAGCAGCAAGATACATCATGTACAGGTACAAATTCCCTATGATGAATGTTATCATTATGTGTATCTAAAATGTACTGGACCAGGGATGTAACTCAGTGCACCAGGTCTGCCTGTAGTGCAAGATCCTAAGTTTGATTCCCAGTACCGAAATAAATAGTACCAATAAGAAAAAAAATATATATCCTTCTCAAGGGCCCTCTATGGTAGGCACTGCCATTATTTCCTACATGAGGAATTTCATTATTTCCCTAGATGAGATTAAGGTAGGAACCACTTATTTCCTCCAAACTACCAGCAAGGAAGCACATAAGCTCTACAAATGAGATCCACCCACCTCCAACACACACACACACACACACACACACACACACACACAGAGAGAGACATCTGACCAAACAATGTCTTTTTATTGAAAGACCATAACACAAAAGCAAGCTGAGAACAGAGGGTATTAAGAAGGTGCTACCCTTCCTGAGAGTCTACTCTGATTCCTATGAGTATTCAGGGAGGGAGAAGATGGAAACCCAGAAAGGAAAGATAGGAACTCTTATTTGAATGATCAGCCTAGTGCTCCAGGCCCAGGGTGTGTCAGGGTCAAGGGCCAGAGAGGGAAGAGGGTTGCTCTCAACTGCCAGGTTATGTGTGGACATCCACCACCCCAACTGCCTCAGGCCTCCAGGAGCTTCCCCAGGAAGCGGAGGTTGAGGATCTTGAGCTGCTCATCAAGATCCATTCGGACAATGCCATCCTCACCGTCGATGCTCAGCAGGACTCCTGTGGCTTCCCGATCCTCGCCCAGGATCACCTTCACCTGAGGACACAACCAGAGTCAGGGTCCATGCCAGCAGCCTGACTCCCATGCCTACCCTTGCCCCAGCCCCTACCTTGTTGTTCTTGGTGGGGGTAATGGGTTCCAGGTGCTCACTGGAAATGCTGACAACCTTTTCACTGTCCTTTAGGTACACGGAGCACATGCCTCCCTGTGGGTGGAGACAGCCTGGTTAGCCTCTCCTGTTCTCAACAAAGGACTGACGCCCACCCTTCAAGTGATGCAAGCTCAGGGCTCACTCTGAAAACCAGTCCCCAGGGCACACAGGAGCAGGGAGACCATGGCTGGGCCTGGCTCCAAGCCTTGGACCTGTGGTATGGGAGTGGGTAGGGGTGGTGTGTGTGTATATGTGTGTGTCAGATACCAGATCAGCAAGGGACGGGCCAAAATGAGGCTCACACCAGGTGGTGATGAACACCTATAATCCCAGCACTTGGGAGGCTGAGGCAGAAGGATTGCTGTGGGTTCGAGGCCAGCCTCGAATTCAGGGCCAGCCAGAACTACCTAGCAACACCCTGTCTCAAAAACAAAAACAAGGGCTGGGAATGTAGCTCAGCAGCACAGCACCTGCCTGGCAAGTGCAAGGCCCTGAGTTCTATTCCTGTTACCAAAAACAAAAACATAACCAAAAACCTCACACACACACAAAAGAAAAACAGGATCTAAAAATGAATGAATGAATGAATGCCAGGGAGTTCAATCCCCAGCACCAAAAAAAAAAAAAACCCAGAATGAGGCTTAGGACTACTTCTCAGGCACTCGAGTCTTCATGTCCCAAAGTGTCCTCAGCTTCTTTCCATCTGCTCGCCCTAGCCAAGCTCTGGACCTCATCTTTGTCACCTCCCACATCAACAACCCTGCAGCTCCGAGGCCTGTCCACTCAGCCCTCCCAATGAGGCCCTGCCCCAGGGTAGGCAGACCACCTCCTGGCCTTCTGGGCCCTAGTCTCACCACCCAACCCACCCCTGATACTGTCACCTGGAGAATGAATTCCAAACCACAGATCAGAGCCCACCACTCCCCTGCTTAGATTTCTCCAGGGCTCCCCAGGACTGCTACCTACTCAGCCACTTTCCTAGCCTCACTGCTCACCGTCCCCTTGGCTATTATATTCTAGCCACAGCACACTTCTGCTTCCTGATCATGCCAGGCTCTGGCTCAGCAACAGGCCTTTGCATGTGCAATTCCCTCCATTTGGAACAGTGAACCCGTCTCTTCCACGGGCTTACTCCCAGTCAGCCCTCAGGACTTGGCTCCGCTGTCTCGCACAGAAACCCAGGCTGAATCCCCGAAGTTGTGTACAATGCCTCCTCTGGGTCCTCCTATTTCCCTTGCCCTCTGTGGATGCCTCATCCTAACTCTGCCAATATTCAACTGTCATTGACTAGAGACGTGTCTCTCTCCCCCAGTGGAATGTGAGGACAAGGGCGGGAACTGCTTCAGTCTCTGGTGTTGGACTAATTCAATCAATTTTTATTAGATGGTCACCAAGGTGCTGGGCCTTCATATAGAAATTGGGACTCCTGAGAAATAAAATAGATTTGTTTCTTTTTTTAAATGGTGCTGGGGATGAAACCCAGGGCCTCCTACATGCTAAGCCATACTCTTAACACTGAGCTACATTCCCAGCCCCAAATTCACACACTGGAATCAAAGCCTCACACCAGGGGATAAAATTCTAAGCTTATAGGAAACAGATAGGTAACATGAAGAGTTACACGAACGTGAAGGACACAGGCCTGAAATGGCCCAGGTGCTGCCCTGAAGGGTGAGGTCCAACTAGATGCAGAGTGAGGGGACAGGGAAGGCACATGTGCCTGGGCCCTGAACATGGAGAGTCTGTGAAAGGCAGAGGCCAACAGCCTGAGGAGGCAAACTCGGGGTTATGGGTGCCTGGTACCAAGTCCAAGCCTGACTCAGAGGGCACTCAGCACCTGTGATCTCAAAGGACTATAACAAAAAGAACCACAAACCTGTGTGCCAGCCACAGTTCCTGGGCAGAGGTCTTAGCCCTAAGTGCCCCATGGCGCTACACCCCAAACCCAAACAGATGGTGCCACACCATGTGGTCGGACAGTGATTGGTCACAGAGATTGGGAGCACAGGGAGAAGTTGCCAGCCCACCTATGCCCTGGGCCCCACATACCGTGACGCTGCGGATGACGCCAGTCTGCCCCACCACCTGTGTATCCAGGTAGGTATCCCGCACCTTCACCTGGATGTCAGTGGTTACCCAGTCGCTGGAGTTCTGCTCAATGCCTGA